ATTAAAAGCATGGTTACCTTGTGGCTTTTTCAATAAATTATTCCTTACAATTTCTCTCCCACCACAATCTTCACCAATAATACAATCTACCAATAATATATTATTTATAAATATTAGTTTCAATTTTTAAAACTAATAAAATAATTCTAATAATAGAATTAAAAATATAACATAATTCCTAATCTCAATCTTAATACAAATCTAGAGTTAATACTATTAAGTAAAATTTTTAACTCCTCTTTTACTCATCAATAAACATTAATAATCTAAAAATCAAATTTTAAACTAATTTCTATTATCAAAATTTTCTTTTTATTTTATAAATTCACACCTAAAATACCCAAAAATTAAAAATTAAGTCTCTAGCTTAGAATCATAATCCTATAGCCATAATAATTTATTTCTCATCTCAAATAATCATCTAAACCTCAATAAATCAACATATATTTTCAGATCTAGTCTAGAATTTGATCCATAAGTCACAAATTCAAAGATCATCAACAAATTTATACTCTAAAACATTTATTATACTACTAACAACCTCATAAACTATATTTATTCAATATAAATTCATCCCTTTTCAGATCCTAAATTTTCTACCACCACAAAATCAGAAACTAAAGAGAAAGAATGACTAAGAAAAATTTTAGAACACATACTTAGTCTTAAAAAGCTTGAAATCACACCCTAAATATCCTATCAAAAACTCTTACCTTAAAAATTCAGATCTTTCACACCGGCGACCTGGCTCACAGACGCTCTCTCTGATCGCACACGAAAGAGAAGAGAAATGAAGGAAAAATGAGAAGAGAACGGTGGTTTTTAAAAAATGAATGTGGGTCCCATAATTTTTTTATAATTATTTCCTCTTTCCTCTCTCTTCTTTCTTTTTTTTTATTATTATATAAATATAATGATTACACGCGTGCGCCGAAAGTTTTCTTGTTCTTCTTGTTTTGTTTGTTTTTTTTTTTTTCATACCTTTTCTCTCTCTTTTTTATAATAATAATAATTTAATAATATTTTTTTTTTTTTAAATTTTTAAATTAATTTAAAATTTTTTAATTTTTAATTTAATTTTTTTAATTTTAATTTATAATTATATCCTAAGTTAGATTTAATAATCATCTCCTACTAATTTGCTTACCTCTAAATATTTTTTAAAATTTCTATTAACTCAAATTAACTATTAAAATTTAAATTGGGATGTTACACTTTCTACAATCGTTCCCCATTTTCTCTTGCAAACATCTCCCCCATTTTTAGTTTTAATAATTTAGCCCAATTTGATATAATTTGGATAAGCTTAAACTTGAAAGGGTTTAATTTAAATATCTAAGATTTTTATTATTAATAAAATAAATTTAAAATTAGATAAAAAGTGAAAATATTAATTTTTTTAAAAAATAAACGTTGAAATTGATTATAAAAAATAAAATAAAATAAAATTTAATAATTTGAATGTTTGGGTCATTTTAAAAAATATTTAGCAATATATTATAAATTAAAAAATGGCTTCCATGACATTAAGCTCAGCTTTTTTTTTTGGTCAGAAATATATAACTCGATCCATGTAAAATTGACTTTTATACTAATAATTAAAAAATTTGTTTGTTAGATGTGACAGGCATTCCTGCAATTTCCGCCCACCCTAGTTAACCGTTTCTCTCTTTTTTTATCTCTCAATAACTCTCCCCCTCTTACAAGTGGCACCCCCACGCCTCATGCATATGCCATAGAAAAAATTTATTATTTGGTACTGGTAATGTTGACATGAACTTTATTACTCTTTTTTTTTAATTTTAACTCAATTTAGTTTTTAAATTTTGATTATTTAACTTGATTCTTTAATTTTAAAATAGCACGAGTATTTAAATTATTAAATATTATTTTGTTTTATTTTTCATAATCAATTTCAATGTTTATTTTAAAAAAGTAATATTTTAAATTTTATCTAATTTTAACTTTATTTTACTAAAGATAAAAATTTCAGATATTCAAACTAAACTCATTTAAGTTCAAATTTATTTAAATTAGCCTATCAAGTTAAGCCAAATTATTATCATTGAAAGTGGGGGAGATACTTGTAAGAGAGGGGTAAGTGTAAAGCTAGAAAACAAGCAGACTTGAGCTCTTAAGCTTAGTTTCTCATTTTTTATTCTTTTTCTGAAACCCAGCTTTTATATAAAGTATTTAGAGTTGGGCTTGTTGGCCTTGTTCTAAAAAATTTAAAATAAAATTAAGTACTATAAATTAATAAAAATAAAAAAATATTTTATAAATTTTAAAAAATAAAATCTTCATAATCTTTTAGAAATTAAACAACACACATTTATAAGTTTAATAAAAAAATTTAAATCTTAATTAAAAAATAGTTCATTTTTTATAATGACAGTAACATAGTAATTATAAAAAAATAAAAATATCATAAATTTTATACTAAACATTGATATTTATTAAATTAATTTTAAAATAAATTAAAATTAATAATGATATAACAAGTGTAGGATCACGGTTTCAGGCGAGCAAATTTTTCTTGGCTTCAAATGCATGTTTTACTGAATAAAAAAATTAATAATAATATAATCAGGGTTAAAGAGCCACCAGGATCAAGTCTTTTTTTTTTATAGACTTATCAAGATCAAGCTTTCATGTTCGATTATTTTTAAAAATTTAATTTTTAAAGTCTGAACTTTTATTTAAATGAAGCTTCTAAACCTAACTCTTTAAGTTTGATTTTTATTTTTGGCTCTGGGTAAGTGACTGTAGAGAGAGGGAGAGAGGATGTTAGGGCGCAAAGACGATGAAAATGCCTCTTACTTCTGACACATTTTTTTTCAAGTTGTTAGTACAAAATTCATTATCACACAGACCGACTCATATAATTCTGGTACAGAAAAACAAAAAGTGAATTTAGTGTCATTGAAGCCAACTTTTAATTTATAGTATCTTAATAAATATAATTGAATGTGCATAATTGGGGTAAATAAGTTTTTTGGTTTGCGGTATGCTGGTCAATTTGCCCTGGCGGGATCATTTTCGCTCTGACATGTTATTGTTTAAAACAATATTGAGTCTGTATGTACGAAATCAAATATGATATTTGTTTCTTAAAAAAAATATTTTCCGACATTATAAATATGAAAAGGGACGTTTTACACGAAAATTTAAAATTCGTGTAACTCAAAAGAAATCACAAAAAAGAAAACTCGGTGGCAATTACCACCGAGTTTAAAAGAGAGTAGAAAATACGGTGGCATTCTTACCAACTTCTTCTTGCTCGCTTTCTTTTTAGGGGAAATAGGAAAAGTGAGCTTTTACTTCAGGACGGGAACGCAATCACGAAGTCTGAAGTCATTTAAAAAAAAAAAATCAAGAAAGCATACGCCTAATAGGCATGGTTTCTTGATGCACAAACTAGAGGCGAATTATGAGCAATTTTTTTTCCGCGTAACTTGAAAAGTAGCATGGTTCTGTTGTTATTTTATTTCCGTTAGGCGGGGGGTTATTTTATTACAAGGTCATCGATCATTTATATCTTGTTTGGTTCAGAAAAAGATTTTTTTATGAAGGTAAAAATAAAAGTAAAAATAAAATATAAAAATATGTTTGATATACAGGTGGAACAACAACAATCCTCATTTCATAAATAAAATTTACTACATGAATTATATAATATATATAGATAAACATCGTATTAACATTTTTTTAATATTGTATTTCAAATGTTGAAAACTCTAAGTAGCCCTAAAAACCCATTGAACCCTGTGCATGAATCAAATCGATGCCATGACCAAAAAAACAAAAAGTTATCAGAACAGATTTCATTAAAAAAAAAAACAGATTTCATTCTATACTCCGTGCATCACGTACTAGTTAGAACAGTAAGGGGAAGGAGACGAAGCATCAAAGTTGGAGGAGGAAGCGATGCCGGATGAGAAGGAGGAAAGGATGCTCATCACTGGTGGTTACAGGAAAGGAGAAGTTGAGATCGAAGAAGCTTGAGCAAACCGAAAGACTATTGAGGATGGATGCTTCGCCGTCACTAGTAAAGACAGAGATCTCGTCGCCGATCAATGCTCCACCCATCATCACGTCTTCCATGGTGTCGTCGTTGGTGACTGACAATGAACACCGGCACGTGTCTCAATCAAATTCAAAGATGGCAAGAAAACGTTGGGGGCAAAGATGAAAAATGATGAAGAGAGCGATGGAGTAACTGAGTTTCATAGATAAAGGCAGGGATCTGAGTTCCACCATCTTTGACGGAACTGACTTATTTATAAAAGTTGACTCTAGCATACCAAACATTCAATTTTTAGAGTTTCACTTTTACTTCCACTTTTCTTAGTTCCACTCTACTAAACAGGCCATTCGATGAACCATTTTATTGGCAATAGTTTTATTTAAGGGGAAAATAATCACGTAGATGTAGACAGACACCACTTTACTTATAAAAGGGAGGGTGAGCGGGACAGAAACCTAACGGCAACATTTTGCTGGAATTAGTGACGGAAAGCAAGGCGGGGCTCGAAAAGTGGCGAGAATGCACAAAGTCAAAGAGCATTGTCTCCTAGAGAGAGAGAGAGAGAGCAAAACTTCATGGATTGGCTTCTTCATCTAACAATCCTATCTATGTAGAAAAGTAAAGGAATGTAGCCTACACATCTAATGCTCCATCTCATGACGAGGAAACTTGTCCCTTCCAGTGCTGCTTTTGTGGAAATGACTTACAGCTCTCCTGTGTCCCACGTTGCGTTAGTTTCATTGGGTGCTTCCACAGGGACATGTCTCCCGGTTTAGGTTTCCACCTCGCTTCACACGCTACATACTATTCATCAGGCCATTGGTACTAGTAGCTTGGCCCAAAATCCACGCCGTGGGACCTGTATCGCTTCGGTGGACCTTATTTTCTTTGTTTTTTTCTCATTTAAAAGGGGCCTAAGCCCGTTATAGTCGGATTCACCAATCTACAATAACCGGAGCCCTTTCCCAAGATTTCTTTTTTTTCAAGTGAAAAAAAAAAAATCCCATTCCTGATACCGAAGAGAAGTAGCGATTACATTCGATGACTCGGACTCGCCGTTGTCCCAAGGCACCTTCGAGAGCTCAACAAGCCTGAATGCGGGAGACAGAGACAGCAGCAATGGAGGATTTGCGGGGTGCTCTAAAAAATCGTAATTTAACGGTCTCCACCGTGGCAGATAAGGGTCGTTGTCTCTCAGCCATGAGAGATTTTTATCCAGGTTTCTCTTTCCCCGTCTTCCTCAAATTACTTTTACTTGCTTCTAATAAGTTAAAAGATCAACAGCGAACCATGAACTAACTACTCTCTGGAAAACGATGTTATGGGTGGTGTGATTGTTAACTGTGAAGTTTTGGTAAAAATGAAGCTTTGGTGTTGCAGGAGACGTAATTATAAGCCAGGAGCCTTATGTTTGTGTGCCAAATAATTCTTCAGCCGAAAGCAGGTGTGATGGATGTTTCACGACAAGTAAACTTAAAAAGTGCTCTGGTTGTCAAGCTGTATGGTATTGTGGAAGCACTTGCCAGGTACGATCTAGTTTGTAGCCGATTCCATTTTTCGCGTTGCAATTCATTCAGCTCAAATGTTTGAATTTCACTTCAAGTTACGCTGTATAATATTAATTCCTGATGACCGATGACATGATTGAGGCCTCTTTGGCGGACTTAATTTCGTGGCAATAATATTTTGGGTGGAGGTGTCCGCATATTTTTCAGCCTTTTGGCGTCATTTTTTTTTTACCGAGTTTGATATTCATATGGCATAAATTATAAAAACAAACCTCGGGGTTTAATATATCTGCTTGTTGAGAATATTTTATTTGTGTTCATAAGAGGGCAGAGTGGAAGTTGCATCGTCTTGAATGTGAAGTCCTCTCAAGGCTGGAAAAGGACAAGAGAAAATCTGTCACACCATCTATTCGTCTGATGGTAAAACTTTATCTTCGAAGGAAGTTGCAAAGTGAGAAGGTAAAAATGAATCCCTAAGCTCTCTACCATGCATTCAGTACAAGATATGAGGAGAGTTAAAGAATTAGAGTCGTATGTGGGACTTTAATTAATTTACAATATAAAAGGAACTTCCATTTTTGGTTTCATGTATATGCACATCTTTTATTGTAATATTATGATTTACCACATTGCAAATCTTACCATATCCAGATGTGTACTGTGGTAAACAACGACTCAGTGCAGATTGCGATTATTCTTTGTTAACAAGTCAGTAGATTGTGCTTGCTTTCCTTGTTAAAATTTCCATTTTCTATCCTAATATTAGTTGCATTTATGCCTGACATCATCAAGTTGCTCCTGAGGATTTGTAATTCTCCTGATTGACATTGAGCAGGCCTTAGATGATATTATAAGCTGTTTTCATTCCAGGTTATCCCAAGCACTGCTTCAGACAACTATAACTTGGTGGAGGCATTAGTGGCACGTATCCTTTTGGCATTTTTTGCCTTTAGATCTAGTGTACTTAACACGGTTCTTGGTATATTTTCTCACATGTCAATGATGATTGTACTTTTTAACACTAACTTCGACGTAGATATGTCTGACATCAATGAGGAACGGCTGGTTCTGTACGCACAGATGGCTAATCTTGTAAACTTGATATTACAGTGGCCTGAAATCAACATCAAAGAGATTGCAGAAAATTTTTCCAAGGTACTATGCTTTATCAATTATATTATCTCATATAATTATTAGAAATTGCTTGCATTTGAAATCATGCATGTATTGAAAACTTATGGGATGAGGTTGTGTCCATGAGTTTATTGGTGTAAAGTGCTTCTAGATTTCTGCAGAGTTGCAGTGTGAATTTGTTGCTTCAGCTTTAAGAATTAGTTAACCCCTTCCACATGCTATTCCTAATTTGTTTAATGTAATCTTGATGAGTATTTAAGTAGATGAGGAACCTTCCCCTAGAAGCTAGCTATTGAGGTTGGAGAACCAACCTGCATGAGTATCCCATAAACTCTCTCATGCTATTCAATGCAAGACTTAAACATCCCATGCTACTGTATTCTCCATCAAATCCCAAAAGGTATAATAATTACTATTGTACTTTTTGAAACTTGAGGGTGCCTTAAAGCATTTAAATGATTAATTTTATTCTGGAACTGATGGGTGGAAGGTTGTCCAACCATAAGTAGTTACCAGCTCAGGTCCATTTTCAAGGCAATTGCAATTTTTTGTGACTTTCACTTTCATTGTGGTTGAAGTCATGCTTTTCTGAATATGACTTTTTGCTGAGCCTTTCTAAGGTTTGAGCCTCCTAATCCTGCAGTTTGCATGCAATGCACATACCATTTGTGACAGTGAACTCAGACCCTTGGGGACAGGATTGTATCCTGTAATTTCCATAGTCAACCACAGGTAGCACTTATTGTATTTAAATATATGCTATCATCTTGTTCGTTGTTACCCTTCTAATTTTTGCTGTATCATCATATAGTTGCTTGCCCAATTCTGTGTTGGTTTTTGAGGGAAGGTCAGCTGTAGTACGGGCTGTACAACACATACCAAAAGATTCGGAGGTAAGTATTTGTTTTTTGTGTTGTAAGAATAAGAAACTTTTGACATCCATTTCACTGGGCTACAAAGCTAGAAATGGCAATTGAAAGTTTCTTATGTGAACTAGTTAAAGTTTGCGGTGAGAAGCTATTATAAGCTTTTGATATCACGTTAGCCATGTGGCTTGTTTGGGCATTTGGGCTTTTCTTTGGCTAATAGAAGCATTTAATGGCACGATAAACTTTTTTATTATGGACTTAACAGGCAAAAGAACTCCATTGAGGGTGCATTATTGAAAAGATTTTGAAAACATTTCATGTCCAATAGGTCATTAGAGAAATCCCTAGAACTCTTCATTATCAATTAAAAATACTTTTAGAGGACAATATATTATATTTTTTCCTTTTCCACTTCATGTTCACTACTTAACTTTAGTTGTCTGTTGCAAGGTATTGATAAGTTATATAGAGACTGCTAGAAGCACCATGACTCGGCAGAAGGTTCTCAAAGAGCAGTACCTATTCACTTGTACCTGTCCCCGCTGTGTTAGAATGGTACTTGCTTGGTTTCTTATGCTAATATATCTTGTTGGCTGCATCGCATGATATATTTCAGTAAAATGGTCATTGTGCCATTGGCTAACTGGGCTAAGTTAGTTTTTAAGGGCCAATTTGATGATATTCGAGAAAGTGCAATTTTGGAAGGATACAGATGCAAGAATGAAAAATGCTGTGGTTTCTTGCTTCGTACTAATGGTATGTGGTTTTATGGTGCATCCTCCCTTTATAAACAGGGTGAGGTTGAGTTCAGCGATTGAAAATCTGCCAGGTGTTGATGTGTGACTATTATCAATAGGTCTGATTTCTTTATTTGTCTAAATGTGTAGATGGACAAGGATTCCAATGCCAAGAATGTGGACTAGTCAGGGATATGGAAGAGATCAAGTTGATTGAAACCAAAGTAAAATCACTATCTGAAGACAAAGCTCCTAAACTTCATACAACTGGCAGTATCCTTTGAAATTTCTGCTAATAACTTATAACTGCAATAGCTATTTACTGAACTGTTCTCCATTGCAATACGATCTTATCCCTTTTTGTGTGTGTTAGCTTGTTAAACTTTATCCGTAAGCCACAAAATTGATCTGAAGTTCATGGTCACTCTGTCAAATCCTTGATTAATAGTAGATTATCAGGAAGCTGTTGCTGTATACAAAATAATTGAGAAATTCCAATCAGCACTGTGCCATCCCTTTTCAATCAGCTTGTTGCAAACTCGAGAAAAGCTTTTGAAGGCAGGCTCCTCTTTTTAGCTTTCTTTATGTTGTAGTATTTCTCCTTATTAGTATATTTAACTTGATGATAGTAAACTCTTTCTTACCAGTGTTTTGCTTAGTCTGATGTCTTTGCACGTTTATTCACTGCATTATAGATATTTTTTGGATTTTCAAGTACAATGCGTTTTTGAGGTAAACTATTAGTAAATATCTTGCCAAATATAGGTAATTTTTGAAAGAATGCCTAGTAATCATCTTGCGAAATTTGGGGATAATTTGCTATGCGTTGTGTACAGTTTGTTGAAGTGACGTTCCTGCTTTAGATGCTTGCAGAAGAAACATTATAAATTTTACTGGCAAGGAGTTTCTGACCTTTATGTGTCACCAGCTTGTATCGCTATCCTTATTTCTTCTTTTTCCCCTCTTGGTAGACCAAAAGATTTATCAAGTCAAAACTAGACTTTTCTTTTGCTCTCATATTTGTTTCAAACTGGCGGACTTCTTCCTTTTTGTGCCACATGAATGATGTAGAAAATGATATTTTTCTGCAATTATTTTAGAGTTCATATTCTGAAGGTATACATAGAAAGAGATAACATCATGCCCTTTTCAGTTATTGATGGAGCTGGAACATTGGAGAGAAGCTCTGCAATACTGCAAATTGACCTTACCGGTCTATCAAAGTATGTCATTCTGCAACATGAATTCTCAGAAAATGGCATAAATTTTAAGCTTCCTCACCATCCATTATATTGGTAGATTCAATTTTTGATTGATTTGATGATTTGACTGTTGTAAGATGAATGTTCAATTTGCTATTATCCGTGTAGCTTTAAGTTATAACAATGGGTTTGTCACAATGTACTCATTGGCTGAGTATTCCGTATTCCTCTAGCTGGATAAAACTTGTTGAGGGATTATGGAGGGAAAGCAAAATGTAACTACAAGGAACTGGCTTTTGGAATAATATTTTTCATGGGGACAATTTGACTTTGTATAAAATAATTGAAAATTGAAGACATTGTGGACTCTTGGGGATTTATGATGGACTGCAAAATGCCTAAAACTGAATTGTAGATCGTTCAAAGCTTCCTGGAATTATACATCGGGTATACTTGCGTTGAAGGGTCCAAGAATACTAATTGGCAGTTTGATAGAAGGAAAAATGAACTGTTGAAAGCGTAAGACAACGATATTGGAAGTTCCAAAGGCATTGAAAACTTGTAAAAATCCTAATAACAAATTCAATTTGTCGATTCACTGTAGTTCTAAAACCCGCTGCTCTTATTCAGTTGGAGCTGTAAAATCCACACATGCTGCTGATGTCTATCCTGACTGGACTTTCTAATCTATCGCAGGAGTTTATCCAGCAGTTCATCCATTGCTTGGCTTGCAATATTATACTTGTGGAAAGCTTGAATGGTAATAATCTTCCGACTAAAGTTTCGGTATATTTTCATCTTGTTTGTTTTGTAATTCTAGGGGTTGTTGGTCTCCAATGGGCTTGAAATGATAGTGCTGATACAGGTATCTGGGGGACGCGGATGGTGCTGTTAAATCGCTGACCAAGGCAGTGGATGTACTAAGAATCACTCATGGGACAAATGCTCCTTTCATGAAGGAACTCTTGATGAAGTTGGAAGAAGCCCGTGCAGAAGCCTCTTACCAACAGTCCTCCAGATACAATTAGCAGCATATACTTCCCGGAACCGTATCTTATGTGCCCATGGCTATTTTTTCATGATTATTATAATGTTTAAGAATAATTACATATTATTAAGTTTTAACTATTTAAAATGTTAGTGCATAAATTTCAAAAAAAAAAAAAACCACTATAGTTATTTTTTGAAAATTAGGGATCAATTTTTTAAATGGTTAAAATTATAAAAATTCAAGAATGAAGTTATATTTGATCAAAATTTTAGGATTCAGTTATAATTTAGCTAAAATTATATGAACTAAATGGCTATTTTTTTTAATAGTTTAAGAGTTAATGCTAACTTCCTTTTTCCTTTGTTGTATCATTTATTTGTTAAATTTTTTATGTTCATATATTCTTATTTTGAAGTTTGTATTTAAATTTTTTTCTCCATCTATATGCAACATGCAAATTAATTTCGCGGAAAGCCCATCCCCCTTTTTCCATTTTATAATTCCCCTAATTTGTTACTCAAGGTAGGCCATATAATTTGAGGTTCCCCGCGCACCCTCCCCGCCACCCCCCCCCCCAAAAAAATAAAAAAAAAACCAAATAAGCAATGCTTGTCAATTGTCATGTCATTCAAAAATTATTTTTTTATGTATTCAGCACATGACAATTGATTAATCTTCAATAAAATGAAACCCTTGAAAATCGAAGAAAAACTGAATCAATTGACATTGTATTCATAATACCAATTTCGGGCCTTCTATTTTTATTCCATTTTTGTCAAGTCAAAAGAAGTTGATTTGATTGATTCGATGTATTTCTAAACATGCCTGACCTAAATTATTAGTTGCCAATTTTTTCCTATGAGGAGAATTTAGACCCTAATTCTATCCACACTGAATTTTACTTGTTAGAAGTTTAGGCTTCACTAATTAGATTTGGGTTGAAGCAATGGGTTATGCTGGTGAGATTTAGGTCCTGTGGGATATCCACCAAGTGCAGGTGGAGCGTATCTTTTCTAATACCCAATTCTTCACTGCAAAAGTCAAGGACATGTTCCCCGCTGAATAATTTCTCGTCTCTTTTGTCTATGGGGAACCTCATCCATATGGGTGTGAATTATTCTGGAACTCTCTTCGACTTATTGCTCAAAATATGGGTAACGCTTGGCCTGTGTTGGGGGATTTTAACGCATATCTCTCTTTGGATAAATTTGGGGGTGCTGACCCTAATGTTACTTCTGTGAGAAACTTCTAGGATTGTATTGATGATATAGATATTAAAGAATTGACTATGGTAGGGGATTGGTATACTTGGGAAAGGAATAGAATTAAGGGACATCTGGATTGGGTTTTTTGAAACTCTTTATAGGAGAACCGTTTTGAGCATATGAAGGCGTTCCATCATTTGAGGTATAAATCTGATCAGAGAGCGATTGTCGTTGCCAGTTCTCATGTCTCCCTTATCCACAAGAAAGATCTAGTTTTTAGATATAATGTAGCTTGGTTAGTGGAGGATGGGTTTGTAGATATTGTGGCTGAAGCTTGGGATGGGAATTCTTTGTCAGAGGGGATCAAGAAATTCTCTAACCTGGCTTCCTCTCAGAATGTCATCCAGGTCAAGAGTATAGTAGGTCAAGAGGGGATTGATAGAGCTAGAAGGTCAGAGGATAAAATAGGCTTGTGGCGTTTGGAGTGATCTCTTTGGGACGATCATTGGAAACTTTCAGCCTAAGAGGAACTCATATGGTACCAAAAAGCTTGGTGTAAATGGCTTAGTTGGGGGGACACAAAAATACGAGTTTTTTCCATGCTATAGTACAGGCCAAGAAGGCGAGGAATGCTGTTAATGCCCTCCATAATGGAGATGGAGATTGGATATTTGACCAAGTTGAGTTCAAGGAGCTGGCTTATAAGTTTTTTGAGAACCTCTACTCTAGTGAAAGACCACCTTTCTCTATACATTTTCTCACAGCGCTTTTCCATCCCCTAGTGGCGAGATCCTTAATTATATCCAGCGTGAGGTTTCGAATATTGAGACCAAGAACACTGTCTCTTCAATGGGTGGTTTTAAGGTGCCAAGTTTGGATGGTCTTTAGGCACATTTCTTCCATACTCGATGGGAGTTGGTATGAAACAAACTTTGTCATTTTGTCAAGGAGGTTTTTCAAAATCCTGGCCTTATTTAAGATCAAAACCAAACAAATATAGTCCTAGTCCCAAAGGTGGAGCATCCCGATTCTGTCAAGGATTTTTGTCTAATCTCCCTTTGCAATGTCTCTTTTAAAACAGCGACTGAGATTTTGGCGAATAGGCTTAGGGGCTTTCTAGATCATCTTATAAAGCTTACCCAGTGTAATTTTATTGCAAGAAGGCAAGGGTGTGATAATATTATTACCACAGGAGGCCATTTACATTATGATAACTAAGAAGAGAAGAAAAGGCTTCTTTGTCATTAAGGTGGACATGGAGAAAGTGTATGACATATTAGAATGGGATTTTATTGAGGATACCCTATCTTCAATTGGCTTAGGTAATTCATTCTCTGCTATCATTATGGCTTGCATGTGCTTTATGGACGGATTATTGAACTCCTCGTTGCTCGAAAATGCTGGAAACCCTTCATGCTTGTGAAGAATGGTCCTCCTCTTTTGCATTTATTCTTTGATAATGATTTGATACTTTTTGGCGAGGCATCAATGGAGCAAGTGCTGTTAGTTAAGGAAATGATGGATTTCTTCTGCAAGGCATTGGGACATAGAATTAATGTAGCCAAGACCAAGCTTTTTGTGTCCTTTAATATTAACTTTAATAGGGCTATGGAGCTCAATCAGGTGTCAGGAGTTTCTCTAATGGGCGATCTTGGGAAGTGCTTGAGAGTCCCCCTGTTCCACAAATGTGTGTGTAAAGCCACTTTCCATCTCCTAATTCATTCTGTTTAGAAGTGGCTGGCTAGCTGGAAATAGCTACTGAAGTATGGCAAGCAGAACCATCCTCATTAAATCTATCATCTTGGCTATCCATAGCTATACCATGCAATCAACAATGCTTCATTTGGGAGTTTGTGAAGAGATTGAAAAATGCAGTAGAGGTTTCTTTTGGAATGGGAACTCTGACTCAAGAAGATGCATCTAATATCATGGAATCAAATACAGCAAGAGAAGGAGCAAGGGGGCTTGGGGATTAAAGATCTAAAGGTGCAAAATAAGGCTTTCTTCCTTAAAATCTATTGGGGGTCTTAATTATGCAACTTGAGGCATTATGGGTCGATGTCTCAAGGCAAAATATGGCTGTGGAGAAGGTGTATTGCCATCAGTGGAGAAGAGAAATGCCTCTCATATATGGTCTAATATTGTGAAAATATGGGACGTCTTCCTTATAGGCGTCCGAAGGAAGGTTAGTAATGGTGCCTTGACTTATTCCTGGTGGGATAGATGGTCTGGTCTGGAGGAACCTCTCATTTCATATGTTGATAGGAATGAACTTCTTGTTAATCCTCAAGCTTTGGTCAAAGATTTCATAACGGAGTTTGGTGATTGGGATTTCCGTGCTTGGGAACATTTTATTCCTTTATGGATTATTCAGAAGCTTCGCCTTAATTCGCTCCCTAGTAGTCCAAATAATGATGTGTTTAGCTGGAGAAATAGTAGGGTTGGGAATTTTTCAGTCAAAGCTGCCTACAGATTTCTGAAGAACCTGGCTAGAGATGATCTTACTCCTTCTTGGAAGAGAATATGGAAATGGCCGGTGTCGGAAAAGATCAAGTATTTTCTATGGCTGGTTCTCCTTAATAGTTTGCCTATTAATTAGGGTTGAGTGAGAGTCCTTTATGTCGTCTTGTGCGTGAGAGTGAGGAATCCTTCACACACATTCTGAGAGATTGCAAAATTACTAGAGACACATGGGCTTTATTTATTAATACTAACCTTCTTCATATTTTCATGAGTTTACCCTTGCAGGTGTGGCTGGAATGGAATTATAAACACAATGCAGGAGGTGAGAGGGTTCAAAATTGTTGTTAGAAAAAACTTTTGGTGTGATCTGCTGGGCCCTAAGGAAAGAACGGTGCAGAGGTGCCTTGGAGGGTGTTCGTGCGTCGACCAACTGTATCTTCCAAGCTTGCATTCATCAGCTCATGGAAGATGCAGCATATAAAGAATCGAAGCGAATAGTTGCTACAAACTCGTTTTCGGGAAGATTGTGTCCATTATCCACCTCGGAATTGCTGGGTACGAGTGGACGTGGATGGTTCAGTAGATGAAAACAACAACGCTGCCGGTGGCGGAGTTGTTCGTGACTCAAATAGTAATTGGATTTTTGGGTTTAAAAAATGTTTTGGACTTTCAAAACTCTACTGCTGTAGAACAACTTAGTATCCGAACAGCACTCCAAATCTGTTTGGATCAGAGGATGAACAGAATGGAAGTGCATTCAGACTCAATTGAGGCGATCAGCTTGAATATGAGAGAGAATGGCAGGTTACATCCCCTGTGGAAAGCGATTTCTCAGATTCAGAAGTTGATGTCCTTGTCTTGGGAAGTTGTCTTTCACCATTCTTACAGAGAAGACATGAAGTGAGCAAATCATCTAGCAAAGAGTGCCCATCATTGCGGAACGCGCTTGGTATTATTGTCTCAAACCCCTTCGGATTGTTTTAATTTTCTTGATGAGGATAACATGCGTTGTAATCCTTTTAGCGTAGGCATTTCCTAGTGTTTGCTGTATATTGCTTTATTGCTGAACTTCTTCAAGTTTGTACTCGCCCTTTTAATCAAAAAAAGAAGGAAAGAAAAAGAAGAGGAACATCTGCCGGCACTGTCTCACTTTACAAGATTTATACATTGTTCAATCGATTTGATTGCTGCACACATTAATAACCACTAAATAATCAGCACCACATCAAACATGGAAGTAAAGAAAAAATGCATACAATGCAATCCCACGCAACTGTAACAAATAAGAAACCTGAAAAAGATGAAGAGCCTCCGATGAATCTATATTGCTTCTTTATCCGAACTTTAGTCGCTCATGCAGCTGAAGGCAAAGTTCTGACAATTGGGACAGTAGTTTACATTGTTGATCTCGTGAGCTTAGAGAGTGGGGAGTTATTGACTTAAGTGGATCCTCAACCACTTGCTGGAGCTGACAACAGAGCCTTGAAGCATCTGGGTCATCTATACAAGCTTCAGCTATAAATTGCAGCAATTTAAAGCTTTGGTCTTGGGACCGGAAAGGCTTTGGCGGAGTTGGTGGAACGAGAAACGGATGTTGGAGAAGCTGAGGAATTCTCCATCTTTCATTGCGGTCCCATGCTAGACACCTCTTCATGAGATCTAGAAGCCATGGATTTGAAACGGGTTCATACGTAATTTCATGATTTGGATCTGTTATAACTTTGAATTTGGCCCAGAACGTCTTGTACTCCGAAAATGGCGTCCTGCCATATACCATTTGATAGAGAATGCAGCCCAGAGACCAAATATCCGATGGACGGCCACACTTTATGATATTTCCATTTGCATCACTCTCATTGCACAAAAATGCCTCTGGAGACATGTAACTCAGAGTACCCACCTATAGTATTAAGATTTAACTGAATCATTCTCATCAATAACACTGAATCGTAAATTTAGCTTATGATTTATGCATCACATTTAACCATGCAGGGCAATTCTGATTAAAGCATTGCAGCACTTTCCAGAACACAAAATAAAATACAATTTCTCACCCAAGGATAAAAGGCAGCAGTGGCATTCCTCCATAATGGCATAATATAAGAGAAACATCACAACTATAACATGATTTTAAGTAAATGAAATGGAGAGAAGAGAGGTTTCTATAAGCGCCACCTGTGAATCTCGTTGGATATTTGTTGTATCGCTCATTATTGCTTTGGCTATGCCAAAATCAATCAGTTTTAGGGAACCTTTGACAAGAAGAAAGTTAGCTGGTTTGAGGTCAGAATGCACTATACGTTCCTCGTGTATTGTATTGACAGCTTGAAGAATTTGCTGCAAAAGTATCAGCAAAACAGACTCAGCTAAAGTTGGTAGAGCACCGAAACAATACTGGACTATTCAAAACAATAATATCAAGTCTAAGTGCGTACATTCAAAAACTGAAGTCGAAGTTCTTTTCCATTCAGAAAAAAGAAAGGAAGAGATGGGGAGATATATTCATCATGATCATATAACGGAGAAAACAAGCACCAAGCATGTGATACTATTCTTCATGTAAAATATGGTGTGAAAGGATAATTGATTCACTGGTGTCACATGGACTAACCAAGCTGCCCATCCAATTTAGTGTGGAACGTGGTCAAACATTCAGGAAATGACAAGGTCAACATGAAAATAGGCCCACAATTACTTTTACATTTTTCTGAAAAATTTACATGCAAAATTCATATAATTAAATAGAGAAAGCAACCGCATTACCACAGATTCAGATAAAGGAAAAACTAATATTTGGTAATGTTGTAGATTTAACACCTGCCAATAAAATCGAAGCCAATTCTCATCTATAGTCTGGTCGTATCCATCCAGTTCCTTCCACTTCTGAGACAGCATATGAGCCAAATCAATTTCCCCATATTCAAGCACCATGTATATGTATCCATCATCCTTGACTCGGCTGTCTTTATTACTCAAGGAGCCTCTCAGGACTTCATCAAGCAATGTCTTGTCAGTCACCTAAGTACATATTTGGGGTGAAGAAGCATTACGCTACCACATAAAACCGTAACATTTGTAGATTTGAAGCCATAACAAATGTAAAGTAACGACAATCATCATATTCACTGTTCTTGTTATTTCCTTTTGTCACTTCATCATTCCTTCACAAAATAGGCGGCATGCACGGGTGCACGCAATTCATGGGGAAGAAAAGGGACGACAGGGGCAATCAAAACATAATCAAGTCAAGTAAAAAATGAAACAAGGGGAAAAGAGGACAGAGAAATAGGCAAGTATATGTTTAGAAGTTATAACTTTTGGGGCAGAAAAGAGAACAATAAAACTAACACAGTGAGTTCTCTTATAAGTAACATGTTCAACAGATATTTTCTGCGGTTACTTTAGATAAAAATTTCGTAAGAATCAATCCACAGTGAAAGACACATTAGCAGATGTTTAAACCCATGAAAATAGGGAAACCAATCAGGCAACAAAATTTGGTTGGGCAAGTTAACAGATTTAACCATCCTAACCCCTTTCACTCTAGAATAAAGCTCTCCATATGTTGTTCCCAAGTCCTGGATTCCCAGTACTGTTTTGACAAATCAAACATTTGATTGGCATGATAAACTATCCTACTGGTGTTCCAAGCAATCATAAATCCATACAAAGCCAAGCAACCTGAAACTGAACTTCATTCCTCCCAGTTGCAGCATGAAAGCTTGTCAAAGCAAAGAATAGGGATGCAAAGCATAAAATATCATTAAGACCTGCCTCGAACAGAGTAAAGAAAATACCTCATAGTCCACCAGCTGTATAATATTATTTTTACCCTTCAGCCTATTTAGATACTCAATCTCTTGACAGAAACCACATGCAGTGGCATAATCACGACCCTTCAGCTTGATCTTTTTAAGTGCATAGATTGTACAGTCTGATGATATTACTTTGTGTACTTCACTACTTCCTCCACTACCTATCTTCCCAAGCCTTTGATAAAGCTTGCCGTTTACTTTGAAAAACAAATCAGGGTCATAGGCCCTTTTCCGGGTAGTTGTTGTGCCTTTACTACTAACTGCCTTCTCTTGTTTTTCTGACTTAGAGGAGTCCAACTTAACATCCGAAAATGAAGTTCTCGACACTGGAGCCTGAGGTTGTATGTTGGTAACATCTGCAGATTCGTTCCCCTTAGATGTCTTATCATCGCCAGCAATTTTAGAAGCGTTACTTTCCTTTAGCATGCTGCCTTGGTGCTCCTTACATAGGTCACCATCCTTAGATGCTACCCCTGCATTAATGGCAGAACTAGATGCAACTGCTGCTTGATCCACTGACATTTTATCAGTCTCTTTTAGGTGAGTGCTAGATGATTTCACAACTCCTTGAGTCATCGGATGAGAATTAACATTATTTTCCCTCAAAGGTTCTGCTGCCACATGTGAACCGCCTACATGTGAATGAGAATAATGGGTTGTTGAATTCAACATAGGAGCTGAAGACAAATGGACAGATGTTGTTGTAGCACATGAAGGTCCCACTACTGAAGATTGAGTAGCTGGCCGGCTTAAAAAGTTTCTGAATTGCTGCAGATGATCCTGAAGAGCTGTTGTTCTTTTTGCCAACTGGGAGTTTAATCCTCCATCAGATCTCAAACTTAATTCAGACTCTGCCTGCAAAACACTCTGGTGCTTTGGATCTTGATTGAATAAATTAAATTCTTCTGGCTGGGTGCTTGCAGCCCATTCCATTTCTGTCAATGCAAGTGAACCCATATGAGATGATAAGTTCTCCAACTCAGTGGCCATTCCATCATCGGCCCCTGCATGTTGAAAGAAAAGAGAAGAAATATATTGCAGGGGGATAATGACAGGTTTGGGCCATGCCTAACACAGCAATTTTTTGGGGAAAGAAGTTTCGCAATGCTAAGGAAAAACTCGTCAAAATAACTGGTTTCACATGCTACGTGTCAAAAATCTAAAGTAGGAGTTTCACGGAAATACCCTGGGCAGTAGTGTCATTTCCTCCTGAGAACTGGACTTTCTTCTGACCATCTACATTTTGAGATTCCACCGGCAAAGAATGAATGGCATTGGCAACCTTGTCTTTACAATTAGTCATTGCACCTAAATGACATTCTTTTGCATTGAATGAGTTGCATCCTTTGTCAGGTGCATTGTAGCAACTGCCAGAAACAGGAGGTGTGATTAAAGCGTCCTCTTGACCTTCTCTAATCATCGAAATTGAGCTATTTCTATGTGCACATGACTCCTCTGACTGAACCTTACTTAACGATAACTCCTGGGACTTCTTATTCTCCACATCTGAACCAACGTTCAGTGTAGAATTTCTTGACACCTCACGTTGAGGAACCATCATGCGCCGTGGCCTTATATTTGAATGCACTGTACCTGAGAAACTCTCAAAAGAATAAATGAATGAACGAATGCCACGAATATAGCATTCATCTCAAGTCTCGTTTACGGAGGAATTAAACTGGCAAAGAAAGGGGAAAGATGGACTAATTAACATGAGCAACCAACAAATTTGACCCTCGTCCTGTTTGTTAATGGTAGCATCTACATTTAACCGATTTATCAAAGACAAACTACTTCAATTGCGATTTGTGATCTGCTGACTCCAGAGTCTATCCTAAGAAGCAGCTTAATTGAAGTAAATTCTAGTGTTTTGCATTGAAAATTTTACATAGGGCAAACGCCAGAAATTTCGCATGTTGATGAAAAACGGAACGAGTTGACAACTTATTGACTGGGTTGTTAATCGCTGATGAACGCAACATTCCTCCGTTCAACCTTTTCCCACCACTCCCCCGGCGGGAAGAAAAAAACAAAAAGAAAAGAAAAGAAATAAAGGCATACCGCGGCCAAGAGTTTAATATAACAGGAAAATATATGGGCAGTATCTTTTCCCCTACTCACGTTGGAGCCAATAATCATGAAGACACAAAAGACTGACAAGTGCGAACTGTTAAAGTTAAAACCCTAAATTATTACTATCAAAGTCAACAAGGCCTCTGTTATGTTAAGTAAAAGGCATATATTTTCAGATTCATTACACATTTTAACTTACAAACAATGAGCCAATACGATTA